CTGTGTGTTTGGTGGGATTGGAAAGGAATCATCCACTATGAGCTGCTCCCATCGGGTCAAACACTCAATTCGGACCTCTACTGTCAACAACTGACCAGATTGAAGCAGGCGATCGACCAGAAGCGGCCAGAATTGGCCAATAAGAAGAGTGTTGTGTTCCATCAAGACAACGCCAGGCCGCACACTTAATTAACGACGCGCCAGAAGCTCCGAGAGCTTGGATGGGAGGTTCTATTGCACCCGCCGTATAGTCCAGACTTGGCACCAAGCGATTATCACCTTTTCAAGCATTTGCAAAATTTTCTTAATGGTACAAAACTGGCCTCAAGAGAGGCTTGTGAAAATGAGCTGGTCAAGTTTTTTACCAATAAGGACGAGGACTTCTTCAATCGCGGAATTATGAAATTGCCTTCAAAATGGACAAAGGTTATCGAACAAAATGGCGCATATTTGATCGAAATCGGATGATCCTAACTATGTTAATTTCATCGTCGAAATAAAGCGAAAAAACGCTCAGAACTTTTTACTTTACCTAATATTTAGTATAACAATGAAAGAGAAATAATCTTTAGAATTTTTTAAGTCAATGATTACGAGTCGAATGTCCAAATTTTAATTTATAATGACTGATTGCGAATTTGATATTCAAATTTCAAAATTTAAAATAGCAGGCCTAATATGCGGACATCGTCTCTTTCTAATTTCTTTAAATATACAACAATTAGAATCCTCCATTTTTTAATTCAAAATTTGAATACTCGATTTGCACTCGATGACCATAGAAACATCTATACAAAAAATTTTACAAATTGTTGCATACTTATAGAAATTAAATATGCATATTAGGTCTAATATTTTAAATTTGAACATCAGATTCGCAACTAGCAATCTTCTATAAAACCTCTATACACTAAATTTTATATTGATTGTTGCATATTTACAAAAGTTAAATATACGACGTCCGTTATATTGGATCCGTCATTTTAAGTTTTGAAATTTGTACATAAAATTTACAATCAACGAATCTTAAAATCTCTATACATTAAATTTTACGCAGATTATTACTGACTGTTAATTATTTACAGAAGTTAAATATGCGATATCCGCAATATTCCCCCCATTTTGAATTTTGGAATTTGGACTTGGAATTTAACCCTCAAATTCCACACTGGTGCGAAATCGCACCAGTAAAAATTTCACTTTGCTGCCATCTGTCAGCAAGTTGATGTATCGCTCTGCCCCCACTATGACAAAGGGCCTGAGCACAAGGATTGTCGCAATCGTTTCCGATAGTGTCGTAGACGTAAGTCGGTGTCGGAAGTCACGCACAAAGATTGCACATAGACATATGCTGCATCAATTGTGTCGTCTAATTATATTTGACAACATACGTCTACGCCAATCCTTGTACGTTGACTTCTGACACCGACTTATGTCAACGACGTTGTCGTAAACGATTGCGACAATTTGTGCTCAGACTCAAACTTGTTTTGCTGCTATTGCGTACGATAGAAGGAAAATAAATGAAAATACGAAACAAATGTAGGAAAATATCGTTTAATTGTTGCACATTCTACATATAAATACGAGACATATATGAAAATATAATTGTATTCTTAAGAAACAATAAGAGAAAAAATATTTTACATTAAAAATAATAACATTGAAGAAATAAATATAAAATTTCACGGACACTAATTTCGCGCATTCGCTTTACAGGTGCGAATTCGCACCAACTTGAATTTTCACAGTCACTACTTTGCGTGTTTCAGCAAGAATGACTCCAGTAGCCCCCTATTCTGTAACTCGTTATTGGAGTTAACAACAGTTTCGTTATCGTTG